GAGGCCAATTTGGACCAGAAAGTACCATCGGCTTTTAACCTGCTAAGTAGAAGAGAAAAGGATGGAAATTTCCCAACAGGAGTTCAGGAAATTCCTCCAACGAGGAAGCTAGGCACAAACTTCATAGAAGCCTGAGAGACTCTGGGCAGTAAGGGAGCCTGAACTCTCCAGGTAATGGACACCATGCCCTATTAGCCTGGTCATGAGCAAATCTTCATTATCACCAGGAGCTCTAACACTGAGATGGGGATCTGAACAGCCAGCAGAATCAATGTAATTTTGGTAAAAGACAGTAGAGACCACAAACTATTGGGTTGTCGTAAAAGGACGGACGTATTTTTCTATATGAAAGTGTGTCATGACTTTCCCAACAACCCCAAACAAGCTACAGGTCATATCTCCAGCCCTCATAGTCAGACGCAGCATAATAATGTTTCCATGACGGGCCACAGACAAGGGTGGTTCCATAAGATTAGGTTAGGCTATACCACACAGCCTAAGTCTGTAGGCTAGGTACCTTAGAGTGTTGAGTACACGCTACGGTGCCCACACAATGATGAAACTGCCTAAATGACATACTTCTCAGACCATATCTCCATCATTAAGAAACACATGCAGATACTTTGATCCACATGGTGATATGTATAAATAGCCAAATTGCTGACTTCTCTTAAAAATCCCAAAGATTCTTATAAGACAGCACCAGCCAAGGTGAGCAGAGCTGTTTCCTCTGTGTGGCGCATGCTCTCTCTTTCACCCAGTCCCACTTTGGACAGGCCCGCTCCCTTATTTATAATGCCTATCTGGCTGCTGTAAGCATCTGAGTTTTCAAAATGCAGCGTCTACATTATTTCCCATCCCTGATCCCTGGAGTGATGGGCCAAATAACACTCACTCAAAGATGTTGACAACCCAATCCTAGCACTTGTGAACAAATTGCCTGACTTTGCAGATGCAATTAGGGTTGTGGACCTTAAGTAGAGAGACAATCCTGGGCCGTAGGGGTGGCCCATCTAATCACATGAGATTTAAAACCAGAGAACTTTCTCCCCCTGAGCCAGAGAGCTATGACAAAAAGAGAAATTGAAGAGCTGTAAAACATTGAGGGTCTCAACCCTCCATGCAGGGGGAGAAAGTGAGAGCAACCTTTGGGAGCAATGACAGCCATGGAGGAAACAGGGACCTCAAAACTGTAGCCACAAGATGAATGAAACTATGCCAACAACCCTAATGAGCCTGGCAGCCAACCCCAAGAAGAGAGCCCGTGGGGCTGAGTGACACCTGACAATGGTCTTATAGGAGTGAATGAAGGACTCCACCCAGCTAGACTGTGAGATGACATATGGGTGTAGTTTCCAGGTGCAGGGTTTGTGGAGACATCACAGCATCAATAGAAAGGTAACCTCCACCAGCCTAAGGAATAGTTATTCTCTCACATGGCATTCCAAAGCCTGTTCCTTGACTCCGTGACAGGACTCCCTGCCCCGAGAGGAACTCAAGGTCTCAGCTCTGGGGTTCCATTCAACAACCCAATCCAACATGGAGGAGGTTACCACTGCAGTCAAAGGAGAAGTGTGGAAAGAGATCAATCTTGGCCTTCCCAGGAGTGAACCAGTTTTATCTGTAATGCCAAAATCTGGAAACCATGGAAGTGTCCTACAGTTAGTGAATGGTTAAAAACCCCTGGCATATTCATACCACGGAACACCCCTCAGCAATGAAAAAGGAACAAACTATTAACACATGCAGCAACTTAGGTGGATCTCAAGGACACTACACTGAGTGAAAAAAGACAATTTCAAAGGTTATATGCTGTAGGATTCTACTTACACAGCATTCTTGAAACGACAGAACTTTAGAAACAGAAAACAGATTAGTGGGGATATTGGGGGAAGGGATGTGTGTGACTAGAAAGTGGTGGCATGAGGAGCCCTCTGTGGAGATGGACAGTTATGGTGGTCACACAAATCTACGCAGGTAACAAAACAGCACAGAACTACACACACCCTGTGCCAATTTTGCCTTCCTGGTTTTGGCACTGTCCAAAGTTGTGCAGAATAACTATCAGGAGAAACTGAGTGAAGGGTACATGGAACCTCCCTGAACCACCTCTGCAACTTTCTGCAAGCCCATATTTCAAAACAGAAAGGTTTCTAAGACCATCAGCTAAGATACCAATTCTGATACTGCAACCATGAAAATGCTAGAACTGGGGAGTGGGAGCCAGGCTTCTCACTGTTGGCATGGGAGACACATAAAAGGGAGACAGGAATGACCCCTGGGGGCCTGAACTAGAGCTGGGGACATTGGTATGAATTCAGGGTTCATTTGAGATAGAAACAGACCACATACGGAAATATTTAAAGATGTGCGCACACGTCCGAGTTAGTACACACAGGTATTTCCTGGCTCTTGGCTGAAAGGGCCTCAAATCAACAGCACCCAAATGGCCACGAACACATCTAGAGCACAGATCTTGCTTCTGATATCATTCTGGTAACATGGATCCCTGAAGAGATGGCTGATTCTAGGACTAGGCCAGGCAGTGTACAAGATGAATCTGGAGCACCCCGTAGCATCTAAAGTAAGGAAGTATTTCCAAATAAACAAAACACAAAACACACCCTACGACAGTGGGGACATGTCGTAAGGAGCTAGGGGTCAGCTGAAAGGGCTCCCAATATCAATATCAAAACAAGAACATAAAGTAGTACTGGGTTAAACGTTCTTGGCACAAGGTTCCCTAGAGCCTCCCTCAAGGAGGGACGATGGACAACATCTTCGGGAAGCTTTGTGCGATGCCTCGTCAGCACAGCCCCCACACACACCAGTATGGCTGACACACAAAGCCACTGTGAAACACTGTGAAATGCCACAGACACATTCAAAAGAACCCAGGATCATTGACCTGAGCTGTTTGTTGTGCACAAAACTGACACCCAGAGAGATCAAGCAACTTATCTAAAATCACAGAGGAAGGTCAGGCTCCCAGCCCAGTCCTCCTACTCCTTATCCCCTGGGAGGATCTCAGCCGTCTAAGTGAGGAGGCCCCGCCACCATCTCAGTCCTGGAGAGAACCAGGTTGAGGTGTCCCACACCCCAATCACATACAGCCTCACTCCCAGCTGACTGCTCCTCCATCAGCACCTGCTTGCGCTTAGGCAGGACCACACAGCACACCCCTGAACTGCCCATAGCAGTGGCCATGCTCCCAGTCTGCCGGGCCCAAGCCATCTGTAATTCCTATTTCCACCTCTGGATGCTGAGGCCAGCAGCACCTTTATGAGAGCATTTTTTCTCTCATCTGTCATTGTGCTATAAGAAAAGGGCAGGTTCTCCAAATACGTTTTCGAAAATGTAAGTTCTTCAGGTCTCTGCTGAAACACTTCCTCAGAAAACCCCATCTGTGTGATCACGGCGCTGTTTGTTTCAGCCACGGTTGGTGAGTTCATGCTTGTCTGTAGCACCACTGCTTGTCTTTCCCATTCGACTGTAAATTCTCCGAGGGCTGTGGGCACGTATTTATATCACTAGTGGCTCATGCACTTGCTTAGAAGCTGACACTAGTGGACCTACAACAAAACACGATTTGGGGAAAAGGGAGAAGATGGAGTGAGGTACTCAGAGCCTTGTTTCCTGTGAACCCGCCCTTGGCTGACTATGTGAAGGAACTGAGCCATCTTTCCTCAAGGCACTGGGGACTGAGTGAGCGGCCATGTGAGTTTGGAATTTCTCCTCTCTGGGTTCCACCTGCAAAGGCAGAGCTTCAGAGTCGGCATCAAGGGCATACGTGGAGAGGTCACCTTTGGCTCGTGTCACAGGAAGCCCCGCATGTCATCCAGACAAGTGTGAGCTCTTCCTTCAAAGATACCAGGTCATCAGAAAAGTCATGACATATTTTTTTATGCTTTTCTATGCAAAAAAATGCATCGTGACTTTTCTGACGACGCAATAGCATGGTGCTATCAAGGAATATGCTGGAGAAGTCACAAAACAGCGGATTTCAGTAGCTAAAATATGACTTGTTTTCTAAAAGCTTCATAACCACGAGGTCCCAGAGGAAAAGAGCCTAGGTTTTCATCAAAAATGATCAAGAACAGGCAAACATTTGTCAGACACAGTTCCTGATATTTCCCAGATGCCCCATCTTTCCCCGGGGCCGGAGAAGACAACACAGCCCTTCTGCCCACTCAATATTAGCTTGAGGCCAGTCAGTGGGAGTCTCTGCCCTGCAAGCTGGACACCCCCGCCCTTGCCTAGAGAGCATCTGGGGACAGACTCAGCTTTTTTCTTCATCTTCTGAAATCTCGGCGTCCAAGGCAACATTTTAAATAACACGCACAAGAAAACTTCCACTCATGCTCCAGCGACCTCTGCTTTTTGTGCCAGACATCAGAGCCTTCAGGCAAGAACAATTAGAGAGATTCAGGCAGCAACCTGGATCCACTGCTGGGGCTGGGAGAAGAACAGAGTCTGCTCAGTGCATCTGGAAACAGGTGGCAGCTTTCATTCCACATCCTGGGCCAACATCAGTCCAGCCTAACGTGCACTGACAGGGCAGCAAAGGACAGAGAGGCTGTCTTGCTCACTGAGTCTGCAGAGTGATGACGCCACTGCAGGAGACATGGGACCTGGAGGGTTGGCAGAGGTCCCTCAGGGTGTAGCACCAACCAGATGGACACTGGGATGCTGGAGAGATACTGAGAAAAGTGGCAGCCACAAAAGGCAGTGAGGGTCCCTCAGGGAAGACCAGGGCTGGGAGAACTTTGCCATTTCAAGGACTCTCCTGTGGCAATCTAGGACAAAGGCACCAGGCTAACTGAACTGCCAAGACTCTCCCCTTCTGTGGCAGGATCTCATGCTGACCTGAGCACGTGGGTGGTCAAGAAGTGAGGCCATTAGGTGCAGGTAGCTGAAGAGTACACTCGGCCTGGCAGAGATCTTCACATGGCAAAAGCCAGAGAAGAAGGGACAGCACAGATGTGGCAGCAAAGCCCTACCTTTGTCAGCAGCAGGACCCGCTTCTGCAGCCGTCGGGCCAGTGCCTCATGGGTCTCCCGCTTCTTCCTCTCCTCCAGCAGCTGGCCGCTGATCTGCCGCAGCTCCTCCTGGAGCTGCTGCCTGACCTTTTCCAGGCCCCGGGCACTGCAAAGGAGAAGCAAAAGGGCAGAATGATGAGGCCGAGTGTGACCACCACCCCACCCCTACCTACCCCCCACCCCCGGCAGTGAGTCCCACAGGGACGACCTAAAATAGAGCTGCACGTGCAACCACCTCACTGTCATTTCCTCACTCCTGAATAGCTACTTAACGCCTTTCAGGAGTTTCTGGATTTCAAATAGACACACAGGGTGATCCCAGAACACGGCGGGGAGGAGGAGGGGGAGCGCAACTCTACACACAATGGGAAAAATTGTCAGCAGCAAGGAGCGCTTTGGGAGACGGGACTTCTGAATGAGCCAAATTGCCCAAGCAAGCACTTCCCGTCGGAATCAAGTCAGCCACAGATGTGCAGTGTGGGAAGGGGGGACTGAACAGGGCCTCAGTGGTGGGTCCTGTTCTAAACTCTGCAGCGTCAAGAACCTAGCCCTGCCAACTGTGATGCTCCTGTGGGCCAGCACTGGTAGCACTGGCCAGGCTCCTCCTGAAAGACCAGGTTTGGAAGAACCCTGCCCCACCTGCCCCCGGCTGGCTGATGCTTCCTGTCAATTCTGCTTTGTAAATATTCCCTTTTCCTCTCCCTCTCTGCCGTAGTGCCTCAAGTGCTCTCACTCCAGCACATCCTTCACCAGGTACCACACTGTCTCTTTCCACCACAGAAGAAGGCTGGTCACTATGACTCAGTGGCCTCAACTGGCCTCGGTCACTCAAACTAACTCCAAACTTCTTGGCAGGGAAAGAAAGTGTCTTAAGAACTTGGTCACTCCCCCATCTTTCTCAAAATGTCACCAATCCTTTAGAGTGCTGCTTCTGCCACTATCCTCTGCACCTGCTGGTCCCACACATCCTCCAGAAGCCAGCTTGGGAACCACAGCCCAGCCAGAACCCAGTGACACTAACTGCAAAACTCAGTTAATGACCCAATGGCTTCCTATGGCCCTCCCTTATCCTTCCAGGGTTGGTGCTCAACAACAGAGCTCCCAGGAAGAAACACAGTCAGAGGGAGGGAGATAAGACCAACCCTCCTAAGAATGGCATGGAGCAAAACATTATGACACAGAGGTGGAAAACACAGTGTTCATGCAATTCCTGTAAGTAGGGAAAACCTTGCTCAAAAAGAAATCATACTAAATCTCATAACCACAATGTTAGGGCTATGTTAGAAGGTGACATTTATAAAATCTATGTGAGGTAGCAATCAATGAGAGCCATGAGGCTGCTTTGAAAGTATAAAAATTTAGGGTGGGGGGCTCTCAACAGCACCTGCCGTCTTAGATCATCCTCAGCATCCAATTATTTCTATTTTGCTTGGATTACATGATTTCAAGAAAACCTGAATTCATGGGGATGGGAGATAATGCGTTCTTTGGAGGTGGTCTCCACTCTGCTCATTTTTCCCATTTCACATCTGAGCAAGGTTATTTTTTCAAAAATTATAACTTAGTGTAATTGTTGAAACAGTTAAAGTATAATTTGAAAATGAATGTGAATAAAACACATACAGAACTGTAGAAGTGACTTGGCAGTGGTCCTGGTGCAGCCAAGTGTGATGGGGAAGCCCTGGTCTAGCCCAAGGCAGAGGTCTCGCAAGCCCTCGGAAGCTTGAGCCAACATTCTAGTTTCAAGCGGGCTGGCATTTCATTTCAATTTAGTCACCTCGCAAAGTCTCACACTAATATTTAATCCAAACGCAGAACTAGCTGATTGCTTCCTGCCACCTCTAGGTGCTCCATAACCAAAAACATAAAATAAAAAACAAGTACAAATATTCATTGGAAACAGACATATTAAGAGGCTATTTTGAGTTCCAGTTCAATTTAAAGCTATTCATAGGCCAATTTAATAATCAAGGACTGTGAAATCGACTCTTGAATCATTGAATTCAGGTGGGGAGGTTCACAAGTGCTTTAAATCATTGCTCCAATGCAGGTAATTTAATTAGGAGAATGGCACCACTTCCTCCACTCTGTGTTAATAGCCATGCATGCAAAGGAAAGAATGTGGTTGATGCCCTCTTTCAGGTGACAGGGCACAGCACGGATGCCTGACTGGGCTGCGGAGAAAGGGACTGCTCTGAAAAGCTATCCTTAGCACAAGATGAGCGTGGAGGCTTTGAGGGAGGATCGACAAATCCCGAGCAGCCCTGCATTTTGGGTGCACGATGCCCTCATTTACACATGGGGTCCTCTCCACCTGGAGCAAGCACAAATAAGTGCATGGCCACATGATCACTGCCACCCTTTTTTAGAGTCCAGACCTCTGGTGCTCTGAGGACCTGGGTCCAACACAATAGTTTCAGGTAGCAGGATCGGGTACCAAGAACTTTGGGTTTCAGTCTGAGCTGGCTCCCAACCCACTCACTGCAGCTAAGTTTCAGCCTCCTATGTGAAACAAGAAAGTGGGACACTGGGGTGCTCTAATCTGAGTCCTCAGCCCAGATCTAGGGTACCACGAAAACAGAACTGCCAATGAGAGGTAACCTGAGCTGTGTGTTCAGCAGTACCCTTCAGAGAAAAGAGAGCCTCTAAGGGATGCTGAGCCCAGGCTGGCAAAACTTATATGGAAGTTATAAAGAAAACCTTCACTCTTCCGGGACCAGCAGATAGCATAATGGTTATGTCGCTGGTCTCTCACATAGTTGAGATCACGGTTCAAGCCCCCAACCCAGTGGTATAAAACTCATGCTGGGTGTGAGTGTGTGCATGCCCAAAATCCTGAGAGGAGAATGGAAGAGAAGTGACTGTGGTATGGCAATCCCCACCCCCTGGGGGGAGTGATTTCTTGCTTTCTGTCTCTCTGACAAGTGCATGTACCCTATAGCAAAAATCTCTTTTAAAAAAAAAGAAAGAAAAGAAAGAAAACTTTCACTCTCCCAATAGTAAAATACATTTCACAAAGTAAGAATGCGAAGAAAAGAGCCAGAGGAATTCATGACCCTAAAGGAGCCCCCTGGACACCAGAAACTATGACAGTTCAAAAAGAAATCATACTAAATCTCATAACCACAATGTTAGGGCTATGTTAGAAGGTGACATTTATAAAATCTATGTGAGGTAGCAATCAATGAGAGCCATGAGGCTGCTTTGAAAGTATAAAAATTTAGGGTGGGGGGCTCTCAACAGCACCTGCCGTCTTAGATCATCCTCAGCATCCAATTATTTCTATTTTGCTTGGATTACATGATTTCAAGAAAACCTGAATTCATGGGGATGGGAGATAATGCGTTCTTTGGAGGTGGTCTCCACTCTGCTCATTTTTCCCATTTCACATCTGAGCAAGGTTATTTTTTCAAAAATTATAACTTAGTGTAATTGTTGAAACAGTTAAAGTATAATTTGAAAATGAATGTGAATAAAACACATACAGAACTGTAGAAGTGACTTGGCAGTGGTCCTGGTGCAGCCAAGTGTGATGGGGAAGCCCTGGTCTAGCCCAAGGCAGAGGTCTCGCAAGCCCTCGGAAGCTTGAGCCAACATTCTAGTTTCAAGCGGGCTGGCATTTCATTTCAATTTAGTCACCTCGCAAAGTCTCACACTAATATTTAATCCAAACGCAGAACTAGCTGATTGCTTCCTGCCACCTCTAGGTGCTCCATAACCAAAAACATAAAATAAAAAACAAGTACAAATATTCATTGGAAACAGACATATTAAGAGGCTATTTTGAGTTCCAGTTCAATTTAAAGCTATTCATAGGCCAATTTAATAATCAAGGACTGTGAAATCGACTCTTGAATCATTGAATTCAGGTGGGGAGGTTCACAAGTGCTTTAAATCATTGCTCCAATGCAGGTAATTTAATTAGGAGAATGGCACCACTTCCTCCACTCTGTGTTAATAGCCATGCATGCAAAGGAAAGAATGTGGTTGATGCCCTCTTTCAGGTGACAGGGCACAGCACGGATGCCTGACTGGGCTGCGGAGAAAGGGACTGCTCTGAAAAGCTATCCTTAGCACAAGATGAGCGTGGAGGCTTTGAGGGAGGATCGACAAATCCCGAGCAGCCCTGCATTTTGGGTGCACGATGCCCTCATTTACACATGGGGTCCTCTCCACCTGGAGCAAGCACAAATAAGTGCATGGCCACATGATCACTGCCACCCTTTTTTAGAGTCCAGACCTCTGGTGCTCTGAGGACCTGGGTCCAACACAATAGTTTCAGGTAGCAGGATCGGGTACCAAGAACTTTGGGTTTCAGTCTGAGCTGGCTCCCAACCCACTCACTGCAGCTAAGTTTCAGCCTCCTATGTGAAACAAGAAAGTGGGACACTGGGGTGCTCTAATCTGAGTCCTCAGCCCAGATCTAGGGTACCACGAAAACAGAACTGCCAATGAGAGGTAACCTGAGCTGTGTGTTCAGCAGTACCCTTCAGAGAAAAGAGAGCCTCTAAGGGATGCTGAGCCCAGGCTGGCAAAACTTATATGGAAGTTATAAAGAAAACCTTCACTCTTCCGGGACCAGCAGATAGCATAATGGTTATGTCGCTGGTCTCTCACATAGTTGAGATCACGGTTCAAGCCCCCAACCCAGTGGTATAAAACTCATGCTGGGTGTGAGTGTGTGCATGCCCAAAATCCTGAGAGGAGAATGGAAGAGAAGTGACTGTGGTATGGCAATCCCCACCCCCTGGGGGGAGTGATTTCTTGCTTTCTGTCTCTCTGACAAGTGCATGTACCCTATAGCAAAAATCTCTTTTAAAAAAAAAGAAAGAAAAGAAAGAAAACTTTCACTCTCCCAATAGTAAAATACATTTCACAAAGTAAGAATGCGAAGAAAAGAGCCAGAGGAATGCATGACCCTAAAGGAGACCCCTGGACACCAGAAACTATGACAGTGGGTGGGCAGCCCCAACTACAGACCACGGCTCTGCCCTGGACAGCCCCAAGCCCCATCCAAGGACTAACAGACTGGGTACAGTCAGGTCCTATGTAGGCCAGCTCCCATGGCCTGGTGCTTAACTGGTACCCAATCCTTCTAAAGGACAG